ATTTTCCTAGATTCATACTTCGTACATTCCATGTTCCAATGATTAAATGGATGTTTGCAGCTGTTTCTCTTCCATTTGAGTGGTGCCACATCAGCAAATGGAGGTCTCAAAAGCGTTACCTTATTCATAGGACTAAGGCTGGGTTTACTCAGATGATGCAGCTCTTTCCCAGTCCTATTTTGAGAGCCTTCTAACCTAACCAGACTACTCATAAAGTTGCACAGTAATGTATCGAACAGTGTTTCTTTGTTATTCATAAGGTTTTCCCTGGTCAATTCTTTGAGAAGTGGACTGCCTCTTCCTTCTTCCTAGTCTGTCTCAGTTTGTAAGCTGGGATGACACCTGTGCACCATGTGCATCCTGCTGGGTTTGAAACACCAGTGACTCAGCCTCAAAACTCACATCAACACGTCACCATGGTAGGACAAACAGACAAGTTTGTCTCCCTGTCGGAAACCTCTCGTACCACCCTTACCTGGGTCCCTGTGAGTGACTGCTCCTCTGTCTGGGTTCCTGGCTTTTATTCCCCTTTCTCCCACTCTGCTGCTTTGGGTGTGCCTGAGTTCCCTCTCCTCACCTGGATCCCTGAGGCTGACTAGTAATCAAGTTAGCATCACACATAAGTGTAGAGAAAAATCATATATACATGATGTTAAAATTAGGGGAAAATGTGTAGTGGGTACACAGTCTGTATCTTTACAATATCTCTGTAAATCTGAAATTATTCCAAACTAGAAAGTCTACTAGAAAGAGATTAATAAATCCCCTCAGAAGTTAAATATAGTTACCAAGTTACCACATAACAGCTATTCTATTCCACTCCTACCCAAGAGAAATGAAAACATATGTTAACCAAAATTTGTATATGAATGCTCACAGCACCATTATTCATAAAAGACAAAAAGTGGAAACAACCCAAATATCCATCAATGGTTGAATAAACAAAAGGAGTTAAGTATTAATATATCCTGTAACGCGGAAGATCCTTAAAAGCATTATGCTAAGTGAAAAAAGCCAGACACAAAAGGCCACATGTTGTATGACTCCATTCATATCAAATGTCCAGAACAGAAGAATCCATAGAGACAGAACACCCGCTGAGTAGTGGTTGTCAGGCTGAGGGACTGAAGGCTTGAGGGAAGGAGGGAATGGGGAGTGACTGCTCATATGCACAGGGTTTCTTTCCAGGGTGATGAAAATGTTCTAGAAGTAAACAGTAGTAATG